GATTACAAATGCAGACATGGTTTTATGTTTACGCGGCGCAATGCAACGCAATGCGTAAAAAGACAGTATAAGTCATTATAATCTGTAATTATGTCCCCACTGGATGCAACAAATGCCTCGTTTGTAATGGGTTTTAATGTTTTTGTCTGCCGGGACACGGCATCAACAGTATGTGAGGGGCGTAACATTTCCGTCTCACGCTTGATGTATTCGGCCAATCACAACGCACTGGATAGTTGGCCAATCAGAGCACACCTCGCTTTTCAGACCGATTAGTTTTGTAAAAATCGACGCGTTTCAAAAAGGCGGGGCATAGAGGAGAAACAATAATGTACAGTATGTGGAAAATAATGTGTTTTTTTAACTTTAAACCGCATAAACACATTTCATTACACCAAATACACAAAATAATGTTCTTTTTAGCAGCATCATATGACCCCTTTAAGTTTCAAACTTCTTAGTTGTCGTTTTATTTTTTACAATTCTGTTCTGACAAAGAAATGATCTCATCTACATCCTGGACAGCCTAAAGGCGAGTACATTTTCGGAAAATTGTAATTATGGGGTGAGCTACTGCTTTAATAACAGTCGTCGTCCTCACCTATGCCTCGGTACCGTGGAGGATTTGCTCTTTCATCTAATTGTAGCTGGGTCTTCACATACTCTGTTGGAAATGTGATGCAGATCTCAATGCCTCCTGCAATGCCACCTGGGTAAAAAATTATATCATCAGTAAATAAAGTGCATCTAAATTACATTCACTGACATCAGAGGCAATCTATGTGATACAGCTGTTTAACTTCCATCAAGGACAAGTCAGTTTCATACAAGGTCATTTTGTTTTTGTTCTGCTTGGTTGTTTAACACACAAATGTTTGAACAATGCAATCAAAGAAGTGTTTGTTGTTAAAGTAACAATGTTGGAATATGATTAAGTAGTTAAACTGACATTTATATTAGTTTATGTTTGTATTAGCACACTGTTTTAAGTGTCCAACACTGTATAATACATGAGATACATGTCAATACATGTCTGGAAGACAAAGACACGCAGACACGCAGGTCACGAACTGACAGTGAGTTTCACAGTAATGGCAGACTGGATGGGTTATAAATGGGAGACATTTGATCCGTAATCACGCATGACTGTTGTTGTGGTCTCGCGCATAATAGGGTATAGCGTGATCCACCAAAACATTGGAGCTTGTGTGCTTCTAACACAAACACAGTGCGCACTTACCTGCAAGAATAGCCTTCCACGGATGGGTGATTTTTCTCCCTCCGATTGCTGCGGCCGCTAGATTCCTCTGGCCTGGATAAATGTTAGGAATTGGGGTAAAAGTGCGCGTCGAGCCCCCGCCGGCGGAGGGAATCCGGGTCAGCGCTGCAGGATGCTGTAGCGGCGTGCATCCTCGTCTCAGTATCGCATCTTTGCACGGCCCTTCCGAAACAGAAAACGGCTTATACAAAGACGACATGTTTTAATAATATTTTACGCGTAAAGTGAAAATTTGTAATGTGTGACGACGGGCAAGATGCGTCTGCCCAATAGGACGCAGACAACACAATCACAGGAAGACCACTGCGGAGGCGTGGCGGCGAGGAGCTCATGAATATTAATATATAGGTCACGTAGCGAGCTCAATCATTGGTCTGTTTTAAACATTTGCTTAATTTATTGCGTTACTCATCTTATGTAATATTAATAATGTACATTCGCCGATTCAATTGGTCCAATTGTATTACCACACCCTAACGGGTTTTTGTTAAACATATAATAATAAATGTTTGATCAGAGAAGGTTTGAGTTGAATGTAGCAAAGACATCCAATATAGATATGTTTGGAAAAACTGTTGTCTTAGGTTCTTGATTTTCTAAATTCAAAATAAAATCGTACAACAATTGCGTAATATGTTTAATTCATATAAATTCATTGTATAAAATACTTTAAAAGCGTTACAAATTTTTAATTACTAAGATTTTCGTCAAGCTCGGCCATTCAACCTGTTATCCAAATTATTATTATTTTAAAATAAATAAATACAAAATTTTGTTTGTTAATTTATGTCGTTTATCCTACAAACGAACATTTGATCTCAAACTATAGCTATTCCTACCTTATTTAAGCTAAAATTGCAACCTTGGATTAAAAAAATGTTACGTGAATTTGTAATTTGTGTTCTTAATGCTGGTAGTTTAAATATTTATTTATTTAGCTAGCTAGCTAGTTAGCTAGAAAATTGCACAATCATGAAACGAAGATTGAATTGAAAGCTTGAATATCAACATTTTCTGAAAATTAGAGAACCTCTCTTTATACCGACCATTTGTTAAATAGGCTACATGAAATACATTTGTAACCATTTCAGATCCTGTTATACCGTTACACCCACTAATAGGCTATGTATACATATGTGGTTCTTGTATTAGGCTACATGAGTGTGGTCTTAGTTTTGTGTGAATGCGGGTGTTTGTTGGGTAACAGCTGGGTGAACCTGGTGTGAATTGCAGCTTTTTTCAGGTTTATTTACACACACATGCAAAACTAACTCACAGTTTAGTGTCTCAAATATAGACACTGTTTTAAAAGGTACTAAGTTATCTGTGCTGCTCCATGCAGGAGTCCAAGAATACTTTGGAGTTTGTAAAGCCTGGGGAATCTGAATATGGCTCCAGTGATGAAGCACAGATGTGTCCCTCAAATGCTGCCAACAGTTTCCCAGTTTGCACCCCACCTCTTGGCCACACATTCCTATTGAGAGCTGAACCAGGGCTGGAGATAAGAGCACTGCAGCATGACAATGATTGCACCACACTCTAAGTGAAAGGACATTTTTCCACTGGTATATTTTAGCAACTGAAAGGAACTTTAAATCACCAGGAAGAAGGAAAGGGGAACTGAATAGGTGGCTTGAATTGTATTTGTCCAGTCAAGCAATTTAAAGTTTCTATTTTAAAGGTGACTTTCTTCAAAGTGTTTGCATGAGGGTAATCAGTCAAAGCCCTGTTGTAAAAAGCACATGTACGCAAACCCACTGAACAATTTCAGTTATCTTCAAAGGTTTCATCCACAATTCCATGCATTTTCCTGGATTTTGAAATCCTTTTCATCCTACTCCAAGTGATAACCTTATCTATTTAGACAGTGGTGTCCTCAGAATGGATAATTTAACATATGTCCCCATAATGCACATTTGAGTGAGACTTTACTGTTGCACCCTTGCTGTAGTACTGGATCATTTGAGCTCAGTATTAGTCATTTAATCAAACTTGTTGAGAACTTCATCTAGGCCTAGCTGTTTGACCTTTTCCTGGTCATCTATCTTGCACATCCCAATATCGATTTTGCATCGATTTAAAGGGTAAGTTCACCCAAAAATGAACATTCTGTCATTAATTACTCATCCTCATGTCGTTCCAAACCCGTAAGACCTTCATTTATCTTTGGAACACAAATTAAGATATTTTTGATAAAATCTGAGAGCTCTCTGACCCGCCGTAGACAGCAATGCAGCTGCAATGTTCCCAGACCCAGAAACATAGCAAGGACATTGGTAAAATAGTCCATGTGACATCAGTGGTTCAACCGTCATTTACGAAGCTACGAGAATACTTTTTGTGCGCAAAGAAAACAATAATAACATAATTTATTTAACAATTCTTCTCCCCGAGTTACCGTCTTCTACCATTTTGGAGAGTACCCCAGAACGTAATCAACGTAATCAGCGTTGTTTACGTTCAATAGACAGCGCACGCATGTTTTTATCAGATTTTATAAAAAATATCTTAATTTGTGTTCCAAAGATGAACAAAGGTCTTATGGGTTTGGAACGACATGAGGGTGAGTAATTAATGTCTGAATTTTCATTTTTGGGTGAACTAACCCTTTAAGTTGACTATTCTTTGCACAAATCATATTGCAATATTGGTACATGCACTTATTGCTGATACCATGCAAAGAGATGTCTGTATACATTTGTATACACTTACTGTGCAATAGTCTTAGGCCTTTAGTATTTTCACCAACAACAACAACCAAAAAAAAATGGTTTTAAGCCAATTATAGTTATTTCCAAACATTCCTTTTGCCATTAATTGTAATCATCCACTGAGACATTTGTATGCACAAGGAGTCTGACAACAGCCAATGCTCCACACAGAGATCTGATCTCACCCATTATCGAATCCATCTGGGATTACATGAAGAAACTGAGACAGACTAAATCCAGAAGAACTGTGGCAACGTCTCCAAGATGCTTCAGGAAACCTACCTGCAAAGCTACAGTACTGTGAAAAGTTTTAGGCACTTGTGTAAAACTGCTGTAAAGTGAGGATGCTGTCAAAAATAATGTCCTAAATAGGTTTAGGAAATCAAATCAACATTTGGTGGGACCATAGTTTTTCAGGTAGCTTTGCAGGTAGGTTTCTTGAAGCATCTTGGAGACGTCGCCACAGTTCTTCTGGATTTAGTCTGTCTCCGTTTGTTCTGTTTCTTCATGTCATTCCAGACAGACTGGATGATGATCAGATCAGATCTCTGTTGTCAGACTCCTTGTGCAAATAAAAATCTCATTGGGTTATTACAATTAATGGCTAAAGGAATGTTTGGAAATTTGAACTGAAATTTCCTACTGACACACTGGAGCAAAAGATAGCGTTAACTGACTTAAAACCTTTTTTTTTGTGAAAATACTAATAGCATAAGACTTTTGCACAGTAGTGTATATATATAGAAATGTACATATGGCCAATCAAAATACTCATATTAATAACATAATACACTGCATGTCTATTTTTATGGTAAATGGAGCTGTGTCCTATTCTGATTTAGAAAACCAGTGAAAATCATTTTGGCATTCTGTCTTGCCTCATAAGCCAATGGTGTATGGACACTTCTGGCTTTAGGATGTTGCTAGACTCAACCTTGTTGACTATTCACTCCATGTGTGAACTCGCAGCATGAGGCAACTTTGAGTCACCCAGGTTTTGGCTGCCTCAGATAACACCTGAAACGTGAAGATTGTGCTTGAGAAATGAGCCTCTCAGCCTCTGCTCATTCCTCCATGCTTGCCTGTAATCAAACACAAAGGTTTAAAAAATGTGTCTATAGCACATCAATATAGCTAAACACCAGGCGGTATACATTTTTATTTGAAACAATTTCAATGTACACGTGTACAAAGTTTTAACAATGATGTTTTTCATATTGCTAGCAAACTTTGGGCAATTCAGTACATTTTTGACATTCCTTATTCATCCTTAGTTAAATGCTATTTGACAACATTGCACATAATGCATTAGCATCATTTCAAGCATATAATAGTATGACTAAAATAAGCACCACAGTGAATAGTAAATACAAGAAATCCATGACTCTTGAAAGGTTCAATTTCCTCACTGCTGACAAATGAAAAAGCATGTAATGTAATGCTGAAATAAATAATTGGATTTCGCTTGGAAACAGTGAAACAGTTGAGTGCTGTTCTTGACCTCAAAGAACAGTAATACTGTATTATTGAAAGGCAATTATATTATTTCAAACAGGCCAGTCCTTAAATTGTTTACAATATATTACTGAACAAATATATTAAAACTTGAACAGGTAAAATAAGACTGAACAAAAATATCATCAATTTCATAGCTTATTTTAGGTAGCCATCAACAGACGGGGCGACAGTTGCTCAGTTTTTTTAAGACAAACTGTTTCTCTGTCCATCAAACAACAGACACTTTGCCTGTACAAAAAAAAGACAGAAATCAAACAACAGTGAAAGCAAATTCAGAAAAATGTACCATTCTTAAGTAAATCAATTTTTTTTCATACTATTTTTATGTTGTCTCTAATAACCAACTGGGTCAGCAATATGACTAAAATCTTATATCACAATATGAGTAATTTTATTTCACGGCAATGATATACATCATAAATGCTACATTGTATCAAGTAATCAAATGTATAAAAATACTCCATATTTTTCACTGTAAATGAAATATATATTTCTTCTTATTAAAGTTACAAAAGTGATTTAGTCAACAGCAGTGATAGATATTCTTTCTTTTGTTGTTTGATTAACGTGAATGACCGACAGCAGGAATATTAGACTGCTGTCACTTTAAGAGCTGCTCGGATCCAATACTGTTACAAATGTGTTTTCTTTCTCAGCTGTTTGCTTTCATGTAAGACCTAAATATTACTAAAGTTTACAAGGATACTTGCAAAGAAGGGCATTTTGACACATACAAGTGTGTGTATTTAACTTTCAAGGCATATACACTCTTAAAAATAAAGGTGCTTCACGATGCCATTGAAGAACCTTTTTGTCTAAATGGTTCCATAAAGAACCTTTAACATCTGAAGAACCTTTCTGTTTCACAAAAGGTTCTTTGTGGCGAAAGAAGGTTCTTCAGATTATAAAAAGGTAAGAAAGAGATGGTTCTTTAAAGAACCTTTGACTGAATGGTTCTTTGTGGAACCAAAAATGGTTCTTCTATCGCTTGAAGAACCTTTTGAAGCATCTTTATTTTTAAGAGTGTAAAGCGGCAAAAATAACTTCACGTGCTCGCGCCTCTCAGACAGCATGCATAGCAAAATTAGT